TATCACAGAGAAGATTGTTGCATTCGACAGATGGCATCGAAACAAAGAGCCTTCAACATTAATGCGTTACCAGGAAGCATAATACGATAGCGAAAGCAGTGTTCAAAGTAAGGCTGGTTCCTGGAAGAAGCTCGGTGAGGTATTGGAGTCGAATTTCCACACGGCAAACAAGATATTCTACCAGTCCATTGGCCGCTGCCATCCGAGGTGAAAAGAAGGGTAGTCAAAGAGTCTTGAAGGACATAACTGGACACTCTTACGGAGGATAGCGATATTCTTCGGCGATGGAGGGAGTACTATGAGGAACTCCTTAACCCCGCGCAACCGCAGGAAAACTCACCTGTAGAGCAGCAGGCAACGGATATTAGTGTTCCTGTAGATGAAATCATGTAAGCTGTGAAAAGATTGAAATGTGGAAAGGCTGCAGGAATCGATGAAATCCGCCCTGAAATGCTCAAAGAACTAGGCAAACAAGGCATTTGCTGGCTTATACATGTCTGTCAAACTGCACTGGCTACGGAACATCAGCGGACTGGAGAACGGGGGTTGTTGTACCCCTATTCAAGAAGGGAAACCAGAAGGAGTGCTCCAGTTAAGGAGCATTATTTTATTGACCATCCCAGGTAAAGTCTACGCAAAGGTGCTAGAAAGGAGGTGCCGCGGAATAACTCGTCTCAAGATAATAACTCGTCTCAAGAGGAGCAGTGAGGCTTCCGGCCCGGCCGAAGCACACTTGACCAGATATTCGACCTACGCCAGATTGTTGAGAAATCGTGGGAGTTTGCCCATCCATTGTACATGTGCTTCGTTGTCCTAGAAAAAGCCTATGACCAAGTCCCGTGCAACAGTCTATGGACATATCTGCTGACAGCAGATACTACGTCAGAATTAACTGCGTTAATTCTAAGCCTTTCAACGTTGGTACTGGTCTCCAACTAGGCTGCGTTTTGTCACCCTGCTGTTTATGTTTTACATGAATAGAATAGTCAGGTGCAGCCAGGGCGATAAGTAAATCAACATCGAGATTTGGAGCTTAGAAGGTTGCTGTTTGCAGACGACCTTGCTCCGTGGATATTTGAAATGCTCTCTGGA